AAAAAAAAAAAATAAAATAAAATAAAATAAATAAGAAATACTGAGGAAAATGGAGATTTTTTCTTTAAACTGTTCAGAAAACCCAAAAGTATCAAAAGTACACAGCTGTGTAATACTACTGGTTCTAAAGCTTTTCCTGTTTTGACTCACAAAGTAAACATGGTAGAGATTTGTGACCATTATTGTTGCTAATATAGGTGAACAAATATTGCTAATAATAAACATTATGTTTTAAATGATGTTTGGTCAAATTGTTGTCAGTATCAGCTGTGACATTCACAGAAAACAAATGAAGAAAAGGGCAGATGTCTTGATCCTTGCAAAGCTAATTGTAACGTTTTTCAGGCTTATAAACAACAAACTGTGATAAACTTCATGCAAAGGCGTAGAAATTTATTAGCTAATGACATGTTCTCTAACACCAGTGTGACATTTAGAATTTGTTTTATTAACCTGGAAAAACAAAACATTCCTAAATTTTTCTTCCTTTTAAGCACAATGTCGCAGCTGATATTGATAAATTCAACAATGACTCGATTATCCCTTTAAACAAGAGCATCAGGGGAACAACCTACTATTCTGATCCCTTTTAAATGAATTTGACTCTCATTTTAGTTTCTTGTCACATTTATTAAAAACACCATCATCCCCCCCAATTGTGTTGTTTTTTATGACACCAACTTTGGGAACCGCTGTACTGTTCTTTATCACATGGTATCAAAACCTTTGGAAATAGAGATGCTGAGTAATTAATATTCAATTTCAAGAGAAAAAGAAACAGTTTGATTTGACTGAGCGACCGCTGTCTGTGAAATGGACTAAAACGTTTGTCAGTTCTTAGATTTTTCGTGTATTTTTTTGTTTATATTTTCCTAAAGATGTGTTTTCCTGCACAGAAGGCTAATCAATGTAGCACTTAGATTTTTACTATGGATTCATGCTGCTGTATTATGTAGCATGTGGTCTGGCTTTAGCTCATCACCTGGATGTAGCTTAAGTTGCTTCAGAACCTTCAGACGTTGTTCAGAAGCAATCCAGTTCTCACAAACGAAAATACTTGTAAAATTAGTTTAAACTTTTGAAAATTGGAAAAAGATTTAGCTGAATTTAGTTTTTGTGTGTTTTTTTAAATTATCTGTTCTGTTGTAAATGTCAGAAATGCCTTTTTTTCTTTGAAAAAAAAAAAAAGACTATAAACCAAAAAAAAAAGTTGATTTAAGAGCAACAGTGTCTGTTCTTAAATAGAAGATAAATAAAACCTGCACTTCACATTGCAGTGCAGACAGTAGTCATTTCATTTGAAAACGTGATTGAAAAAGAAAAAAAAAATCACCTATATGTTGAGAAGTCAAATATTCCCTTAACTCTCTAAGTTTCTTGTCTGAAGGCAAACATCTGAATTTAACCCTGACACCTTATTCAAACTAATAAATAATAAATGAATGAAACAGTCCACATGGCACAGGAGAATTTGTCCAATGAGCCACGTTGGACACCAGCCAGGTTCATCCTGATTGGTTAATGCTCTCTATGGCAACAAAGATTTCCTTGGAGCGATCCAACAATCAAGGCAGGAATTTCAAACACAGACAGCTCCCGAGCTGATTGTTCAATCAGCTTTACAGCTACAAACCTACACACACAAACACTCTGTGGCAGTACAAGGGTTGGCTCTTGAGAATGATTACACTAAACAGAATCTCCACACTGCAAACAGGGTATGTAAATAAAAAGGCAGCAGATTGAAGTACAAATATGGTCCTCAGAGACACTAAAAAGGTTCTTGGTGATTTCATCTGAAAATCTGACTTCAACAAAAGAACCAACAACCCAGCTGAGGCAACTGAACAGTGACAGATGTAATCATTTGGCATCAGTGAGAGACGTCTCAGCCAAATCCTCAATCGAAAAAATAAATCTCTAACAACTAAGCACTGCAAGTCGATTCAAAGTAAAGTCTACTCTTGCACTGTTTTTGGCAGTGATGAATAAAACCTCTCAGCATTTTGAATAAAAAAAGTCATGTTTTAGTTCTTGTTGACTGTGTAAGGCAGTCCGATCTGTTCTTTCAATGACATCGAGCTAAATAATGTTTGGAAGTCGCCAAACAAAATTAATCTCTKGATGGCGGGATCCACAGAATTAATGAGGGATAGTTGAAGACCTTTCTAATCAATCAAATCTTGGCAGATACATTTCTTTAGCCACCTGTAMCCCGGTCCCATCACTTAGAGAACGCCCAGAAAGTAAAAATAGAAGGAAACTCAAGTGGGTTCTCATCTTTTTCGTTTCTTTGTTACAAAGCGCCGTTCGTCGGAGGTGGTTTCGATGGTAGCGCTGCATGCTGGTAGCCATGTTTGTTATCTGTAGGGAGCGGTTGTGTAAGACTGGTTCCTGTTGTTCTGAGGTCATGATGGGACGGCGTGGTGCCTGGAGTCCATTACAACCCACAGCAAGACAACCTGAAGGACCACCATGAGCCAAAGTGACGGACTCAGGCCGGACACTCCGCCACAGTCAGGGTCCTTCTCCTGAAAGGGGGAAAAAGAAACATTAATTTTTTAAATAAATGGTACTTGGTTTATTTCAATGCAAACATTAAGAAAAATACAAAACAGTGAAAATAAATATTTTGTTTCTTTTGGCTCTTTAACAAGTTCTTGTGTGAAAATGCCATGCAAGACAATAAAACCTAACAGGGAAACAGGGAGTTGGAGCAAAGGAAGGCTCAAATCTGAGAATATAAAAATACATACATTTAGGTAAAAAAAAAACAACTACTATGTATGATCTGATACTCTTAGCATGTGGAGAGCGGGAGGAGGAATGTCTTGATATTTTCTTGGCACGGGCAAATAAAGTTGAGAAGCATTCAAAGAGACGTATGAAAATCTGGATGCAAATGAGAGGTGAGTGATCTGTTTTTGCTGGTGTCTGGATACATCAGAAGTCACCAGAGGCATGGGAGACTCGGTAGACGGAGAATGATGGATGAGGACAGATACAAAGAGCAGGGCTTGAAGTTCAAAGTCAGGTGAGACGGGGAATATGTTGAGGAGAGACAGGCAGAGACAGGGAGGCGAAGTCAGACAGTAGTATAATATCAGAGAGTGGCAGGTGATGACGACAAGTGTGGGAAAACAATGGAAAGAGACGCGAGGAAGTGGAGCAGAGGGAGGATTTCAATGCAAGAGGAGAGAAGGTGAGGAAAATTAGCCGAGAATAGAAAGACTTTAAAAACTTTAAAAACTATCGGAACGAATTTAAGATTGGGAAAAAAATGGTAATGGGAGAGATTATGAAACTGACCCAAGACAGCACATGAACAGTGGCAGCAGAAACATGAGCAGAGACGAAGCCAATGGGGAGCCAGAGCTCCTTCGACACATGGCCTCATCCTAACGGCCAACAGACAACCAAAAGGCAGAACATGCAGAGAAAAAAAGGAAGAAAAAAAAAAGAAAAAGAAAAAATTCACGCAGCAAACAGTGGACAACGTTGACAGGTTAGAAAGCAGATACAAGCAGAAAAAGTTAGATCAGATAGAAAGGCGTTTGCTTACAGGACAAGACAGCGTGTCGGTGCATGTTTGTGTGCGCAGACGTACGAAATTTAAAAAAGAAAAAAAAGACTATAGATTCAAAGCAAACAGAGCTTTCAAGTGTCAAGGTTTCACACGCAAATATTCAGTGCAGCTCCTGGTGTTTGTTTAGCTTGGTGATTCATATTTCGAGGAACTGTTTATCTTTGCATGGAAAACCTTCGTGTGCGCAGCTTTTGAGGGGAAACAAAGATGAAGTGACATGTAAATTTATTAGCAATGGAAAGGAGACATGGATAGGATTATTTGTCGACAGCCCTGACCTCTGATTTCCTGCTGTTTAATTTGTCACATTTGCTACCTGCGAGGGTTAGTAAGAAATGCTGATTCAGCATTGTTTTCCTAGTTATAATTTCTTCAGTAAATATTTTTGCAATCACACTACTTTTGCATACTTTATGCTGTGTAAACTGTTCATTTGACAAAACATTCAGTTTGATCAGCAGCCAAGTATGGCATTACCTTTTAGTTTTTATTTTTGAATTAAATTTTATTTACAAACACTTTCCCCATTAAAACACTTTCAGWTCTCTTCAGTTTTCTTAAAAACATTGTTCTCTAAATTTTCTTCAGGATATTTGCTAGTTTTTTGTCTTATTTACCTTTTGGGAACAGTTGAGCCTTATTTTTCATTTTAACTATTAATTTGCTAGTTATGCCAATTTTAGCTGTTTGCTACAGTCTTGCTACATTAAGTTAAGTGTTGCTTGTTTATCTTTTAGCTACATTTTTATCACAGCTTTTAATTTCTGTTTTGCTAATTATGTTCATTTTGCAATTTCTATTGTTTAAAAAAATGTAAAAATAAAAAGAAAAACTTTGAAAACTTCCAGTTTCCAGAAAAAACATGAAATACAAAGTAAGCAAGAAGTAACTTACATCCTCGTTTTTATCAAAACAAAATGAAGGTCCTTTCCTGTAGCGAGGCTCGAGAGCCATTTCGCAGGGATCAGGCCCATCGGCTGSAAGAGTCGGGTCAGGATCATGACGCAACAAAGCATGAGTCAGCATTTATTATTACCTGCGACAAATAATTATTCTCTTCTGTAGACACTGATTAGAGAAAATCACCACAAATAGGAAAAGATTTGGATCTTTAGAAGGTTGCTGAATTCCTCAATGATGTGGCAGACATGTTCCAGGAAGCTTCTCTCCTGTAATTGATGGCAGCTCGGTGTGTTTGAAAGTGCATCACAGGTTTGTTTGTAAGCTGTTCAGCAGACCGATCTCACACAACCCATGTGCTGTACAGACACACACCAGCAAATAGGTCTGTGCCAATTTGTAATTTGTGGCAAAAAAACAAAACCTACTGATTTGAGTAGGAGAAAGAAAACAGGGAGTATTAATAGTGATCTTTTTATAGTGTCAGCTGGTGATTACMTCTAAGAAATTCTTGTCAAAGTCCAAAACTTAGAAATGTGCTGAATGAAAGCACAGATTCTGTGCCAGAGGACAGGAGTGTTTGGGAAAAGGATACATTGTTGCTCATCCTGTATTAATGGGGGTGAATCACATGTGCCTTTGCTTTCCACCCTCTCACTAATGATGAAGACCAGGTTTGTCTTGTGCAGCTTTTCTGCGTGGTACGTCCTAGAAAAAGGAACACACACACACACACACACACACACACACACACACACACACACACACACACACACACACACACACACACACACACACACGAGAGACACAGGAGCTGTTTGTTGACCCAAGAGCTCGAGATTCAGTTTCAATTTACAAAAAATGCTCACAGGAGATGCAGGAAGTTGAATATTTAACCAGAATGCAGACAGAGGAAGACAGTAATCCTAGTTTGCTTCTTTTATTTTTTTCTAAAATGATCTAAAAATACAGCTTTTAAAAGCCTAGCATTCCTTCCATTGTTCAAACCTTGTAGAATGACTTTATTTGATCTAATGCTGGATTTTGAACATGTTAGTGCTCAGAGTATGGATGGACTATGACTTTCAAATACGGCTACATCAAATTTTAACACAATATCTGGAAAACTGACAGAAACAGTCATTTATGTGTTGGAAAATGTTGATTAAATGTGGAAGCTAACATGAGTGAAATCTGCRAACAGGCAGCAGAGAATGTTTATTCTACCCTTTTCTTTCAAGGTTTAACTAAAGTAGCTAAAGTTATACAAACTTGACAAATTCAAAATGCAGTCTTGGTGAACTTCTGCTGTTTCTCATTAATAGAAATTTATTTTGGTGAGTGAAAAAGTAAAACTGAAGGTTTATAGGCATCATTACCTGCTGTCGTTGGAACAGTCAATAATGCCTCTGAAAGACAAGTCATTAGTCTCAAAGTAGTATTGGGTTTGCTCTGTGATGCACACCTCCTTGGTCATCGTATCAGATGCTTCATCATCCATTTCAGCTGCAGGTGGACATGAAATCACATTTAATTTAATTACTTCATCATGTATAAATAACTTGAACATACCTTTTGTTCCCTAAAAAATAGACTTTGCTCATCAGAAACAAACCTATAAAAAGGTTCATGTTTGTGCCTACAACCTTTTTTTTTGCCTAAAACTTCTTGACCACCAAGTAAAAATTTATGTAATATTTTAGTGCAATATGGGCAATTTGAGTATATTTTTTTACTTTTACAATATAATTTAAAAATGGATGGGGTTTTAGAATTTATTTATTATTGTTAATTCAATAGCGTGCAGTGGAATCCTAAAAATGTTTGTGGATGCCTTCTTTTGCAAGACCTAAAAGCTGAACAAAATGTAACAATTAGAAAGCGTAACGACACCAAAATGTGACAAAAGTAAAAGCATAATTACAGCATAAAGACCTATATTTTTAAAAGTATGGAACATCTCCTTCTTGGAAAATAAATAAATAAATAAATAAATAAATAAATAAATAACAGACACTTTGCATGAGGAATTGAGCTGTCACATTCAATGAAAGGGGCACCAAGAATGTCAATGCTAGACATTTCAATAACTTTGTTATAAAAACCTCAACTACATCCATATGTTCAGAGAAGGTTTAAATTAAAAGGGAACATCTTCATCACAAATCCAGCCTGTCATTTGGCTTTGTTTCCAAGCTGTTGGTGATCTGTGTCTTCTAATACCTCATTTGTGTCCTCAGAAAATGGACAGAAATATGCCGCCACATGGGTCTGGTTCACATGTGCAGAATGTGAATTCCTCTGAAGGAGAGTTCGACTGTTCCTATTTTACATCTGCGTCTATTGCACCTCAATCTGCTGGAAAGCTTCTAAAGCCTGTTTGAATGAGCTAAAAATCCAAATGTAATCTCCTGAATGACAGTGTTTAAACTGAACAAAGAGGTAAGAACTGCACAAAACTTTTAAACRTAGGTGGGAAATTAACGGAAGCTCACCTGCATCCAGAAAACTGGGGAACGTGATGCTGACCAGCAACTGCTGCACTATTGACCTGAAACCAAAAACAAATCCCAAACATTCAAATAACTAAAACAAAGCTTTAACCACGTGTGTAACTCCAAGTCTGAACTGCATCTTAAATCAATTAAAAACCTAATAATGCGAGCGTACAACCACACTGTCTGTGGCCTTCAAATCCACTTTTGCAGGACATACTGTAACACAAGCTGCTGATGACATCAGGACACTGAGACCGAGCATAAATCAACAGAAGATTTTGTGGAATCTTAACCACCCCGGGAACAATTTATCTATTAAACAGATGCTGTACAGTATGGCCGTTGCGAGGAGCAAATCCTGGCCTGCTTTTCATTAYAAACTGGGTGGAAGAATTTACAGCACTGGCTTTAAAATGTATAAGTTTGTTCTTAGTCATTCAGAAAAAAAAAGACTCACCAGGTTGCAGCTGTGGCCCACCATCCTAAATTCAGAATATCTGCAATAGTTGGCTGAAAGAAAGAAAAAAATGAAGGTGAAGACCAGATAAGGACACATTTATTTGTTTTTACAGAGGCTGACCACTGTCCAGTTTCACCAGGAACAAACACAGACAGAATCTGCCAAAGATTGTATTAGTTCCCCTTGTCTGAGAGAAATCTGATCAAAATTCTCCACAACAGATGTAAGAATAAACATGTAAACAAAGAGTCAGTGAGGACAAACAAAAGCAGCATAGGGTTGGAATAAAACAGCCCAGACATGCTGCTTTGATTATGGTTAGCATGCAAGGGCCTTGTTCTGGAGAGTCAGAGGTGTATTTTTCTTCTACAGCTGACGGAGGATTGAGTCATCAAGGAGTTTTAACTAACCGTGTTAGAGGCATCRCTGGCTGCTGACAGGCTCTTTGATCACACAGCGACGCAGCTTTCATCCCACCTTCGTCAGTCATCCGTGTTTGTACACAACTGAGTTCAAGTCGGGAAATTATGTGGTTTTGTTTGTCTAACAGGGAGGAGGTACAAATACTTTGGAGTACTTTTAAACTTGTTTTTAGGTAAAGGCTAATTACAACCCCTGTCTGAAGTCTTTAAAAATACAAACAGAAAGCAGTGAGTTTGTATGGGAGAAACATGTTCCAKYAGAAACTGAATTTGAATTGTTCAGACTTTAAACATTTTTGACGTATTACATTAAAAAAAGAGAATTTGATAATTATTTGTTTCATTCCATTTTAATTACATGTAATTATACAGATTCTAATCAGCTGATATTAGCCATCTGTGTTGTATAGCAGCCATCAGCAGCCAAGATTTCTAAATGTCAGTATTGGCATTTTTTAAAAACATCACATCGATTGTCCCCTAAAGCCAGCTTCTGTGGCCGAGGATCAGACCGCCAAGGTCCTCGCCTTAGACCTGGATGCCTCCCTGGTGAGGTGTTCCAGACACGTCCCACAGGCCCAGAGGAAGACCCAGGACACGCTGGAGGGACTATGTTTCTCGGCTGGTCTGGGAACACCTTGGGATTCCCCCGGAGGAGCTGGCCCAAGTGGCTGGGGAGTGGGAAGTCTGGGTCTCTCTGCTTAGGCTGCTGCCCCACAACCCGACCCCGGATAAGCAGAAGAAAACGGACAGACGGACGGACGATTGTCCCCTACTATCTTTTTAATATTCTAACTTTCAGAATCGGCGTAGCACTGCATACTGTTTAAACCTTTTAGAAAAAAAAGAGAAATTTGTCTTTGTTGCTGTAATCTCTTCAAACAATCTGGAGCATTTCATTCCAATTTGTAAGTCCTGGAAGTGATGAAAAACAGCGCTTGCTTCTACGTTGCTTAATGCGTTTCTCAAGCACATTAGACCACCTAATCTCATACTCCCACTCCAACACTTTCACCAACCCCTCTGTTTCCTTTCTCATCTGCCTTATCCAGATTTATGGTTCTCTGTTGAGTGACAAAGTGTGCAGCAGGTACGAGTGCAAAAGTCAGCTCTAGCATTAATCTGTCAGTTCATACAAGAATGAGTAAACTACATGTACAGATATGAAAAAGTGTGAACATGGCCGTATTCGTCTCTGGCTTATGTAACTCACTACGTAGACGGAGCGCAGGCCCGCAGCCGCCTTGTTCTCTCTCTTAGGGTCACAGAGCGACTGGTAGTCGTAGGTGCTTATGGAGGTAAACAGGGATGAGTTGACCAAGGCTCGCATCAGAACGGGATCGACGACGCCAAAGAAACACCCAATCTAAAGTGGGGAGAGAGAAGGAGCAGAACGGAGGGAAGATCGTAATTAGTTTTTTTTCCTTCAGCGCACTTCCTTCAGCAGGGTTCAAGGTTCATGACATCGATTTCAAAAGGCAGAAACATGATTCCAAACAAAAACTGATACATGAAGACTGTGTAAATCTGCTTTGGGGCCCAGAGGCAAAATCTACCAGAAATGTTCCTGACCTCACAGAATGAGCGAAATGGTTTCAGCAACAAAGCCTCACAGAGATGATTTTGAACCTTTATGCAAGCAAAAGTCTTGAAATTGCATTTCATGAAAACAAGTGGATTGGGCTTCCTCTTATTTAAAGAGGATCTTAACGGTTTGAGTTTCATCTTACAGTGTTCAAGAAGTATTCATTACAAAAAATGTTAATTGAGATCTTCCAGAGGGTGACAGACTAACACGATGTGATTGAAATCGTCCATCAGGCGATCAGTTTCTGCATCGAGGATGTGGTTTTTCCGAACGTCTCTGAGGTGTGATGCGTCCGAGTGCTGGGAAGTGTTTAAAAACTCATGTATCCAGGTGGGAGTATTCACATACAGTAGATATCTTGTTGCACATGTGCTCAGGTGCATGTGCGAGCACTTTAGTAAATGCAAACAATCATTTTCCTTCCACTTTGTAAGGTCACTGTTAACAAGCAGCCCTCCACACACTCATTCCTCCTGCAAGCCAAACGATGTATAAATCTCCAATCTATAAGGTAACGAGAGCCGTCTCCTCTTTCCCAGTGCACCAATGCATATAATGAATTAACAGTCACAGGCCTGCTGGCTTCAGACTCCCCAAGGTTTTTTTTTTTTTTGAGTATGAAAAAGGAATGAGCTGGGGAGAGAAAGTCATAAAGTGAGAGAGAAACGTTGCTCCTGTAGGAAATATGATTGAGGGTGCACAGTCTTTTACAAACATGGTTGCTGGGTTTTAGTATTCCTGCCAAACATCTGAGGGGGACTGATTTATTCAACACACACCCAGGCCTGATTAGGAGCGAGTCCGACCTGCATGAAGCTACATTTACTCAGATGACACCGGGGGCCCACTGTTAACATTAAACATAAAGACAATGAGAAGGTGGGGTTAAAGACATGTTAGTTCTTTGGGTTTGTGCATGAGGGAAATATGAAATGTTGGCCTTTAGTATGCTTCATTAATGTTTATTATGTGTGTGCTGATCCAGCAATCACACCCTTGTTTACCTATTTGTTGCTTCTTCTGCAAACTTGTTTCAATTTTATCCATTCTCACATCAAAATGCTTGAGTCAACCACGAACAGTGCATTTATGAATCAATTAATTTCTTTATTTTATAAAAACGTCCCCTATAGAAACCCAGTGAGATCTCTTAAAATTTTTTTTAAATGTTCCTTAAATTCACTTCGAAATATTTGTTCAAGTTTTGCCTTCTTATGCTCCTGTCAGCGTTAGCTCCTAACTCCAGTCTAGCTAAGGTTTGCATGCTAGGCTTTTGTTTATTTTATCTTTTAGATATAGTTTCAGTTAAGGTTTTGATCATTTTAGCTGTTTGGTAGATTGGTTGTTTGGATGTTTTTGCTACTCTTCTGCTATTTATAACTTTTACCTACTTTTCCCACCATCAAAAGATAATAGCAACAGATTTTAGCTTCAGTTATGCTTATTCTTAACATTCACACTGCGTTTAAAAACATTTTTTTTTTAGTTTTGCTTGTATTGTATTTGGAAAATTGAAACTAAATGGTTTCAAATTAAATGTCAATTTCCAAATATTTAAGACTAAAATTGATATCTTCTGTAAGAATTCCTTGCAGAAGATTGTTAGAACTGCACATTTAACAAAATGAGCAGTCAGATGCTTTCATGTACAATACGTTTCTTACATATTTGCACATCTGAGTCTTGTCCTGAAAAGGCTCTCTAAGATGGTTTTTCCCTCTCTCATCTTCCCTGCTTTGCTGCTTGGAGCCTTTATTACGTTTTCATCCGAAACCAGAAATTATGGATATTTTTATTTTAATAGATTTGGTTAGCTGGTCTCTTAATAAATTTTTGGAGCAAAGTTTTCTTCCATGGGAGGACATTTCAAAGGTGGGACCTCTGTTCTGCTCTGTTCTGGATATATATTTGGATTCTGATCACTGGATTCTACAGATCGACTTGGTGGTCTCCTGGTGTTCTACAAAACAGCGTTGGTGGCTATTTAGGCCATTTCCTAGCTGCCTGACCAATATGAAGGATTGTCATTCTTTCAGCACTCAGACTTTAGCCTTGAGCAAGCTGGTGACTTGGTCTGCAAGCGGTTCTGCTGAGGGTCATGGGCCGGCTGTGGTTACTGGACTTTGCTGGCGAGCTGGAGTTGATCTTGGAGAAGCTTATAGCTCGGCGGGATTGCCCACATTGATTGTCTTATTGGATTCACCACATTGGATGTACCAGCAGACATTAAGGCAGATAAAAAATTGCTATTGTCTACTTGACTGAAAACCTTTTCTTCTGTTCCCAAACAACTGATTACAGATTCTTCGGACTCATTCTTCAGATATTCACACAAGAGCATTCAACATTCATGGCTTCAGATACACGCCCTCTGAACTCACTTACTCCTCTGGCTAATAAATGTGCTCTTGCTTGTAGAGTTTTTTTTTTACAGTATAAGCACCATAGTGTGTCATATTTTGTTGATATATGTTTTTTTCTCTCATCTAACCTTCTGTGTTTTTTTTTTCATTTTTCTTTTTAAAGTTAGCACGAYCCCTGCTGGTTGCCGCATGACCTGATCATCTGTTTCCCCAAGTTTTTGTCATGTGTGTGTCTTCTTGAATGGGTGTCCTTAAATGTAATTTCATTGTGCTCTATACAATGTCAATAAAGGCATCATCACCATCATCATCATCATCATCATCACCATCTATCAAGCATATCCTTTGAGAGTTTTATTATAACAGACAAAGATACACACATGTTGATGATTACATGGTTGCCAGCCTTTTCTGGAATTGGGCAATAGAATTAAGCATCCATAACTGCAGTAAAAGTCTAAGTGAGGTCTGATTAAATCCAGTTTTATTAGGCTTCTCTTGCCCTAATCCAGAAATAGATGAAAGGATGTTTTCAGTCCCTATGGCACTGCTGTGTGGAACATCCTGGCTGCTGACCTGCAGGCCACAATCATTTCCATATTCAAACTCTAATTTTACTCAGACGTGTAGAAATTTTTGATGGCTCTCGATGGAATCAATAGGTGTTTGCCACTGCTGTGTCTAATGCTTACAATCTTTAAAATGCAAAGAATCACCTTGGAAATGTGGTCATCTTGGTTGGACATCACAATGAATCCACCATCATCTAGAATGACGCAGTCTACTCTCTGAAATCACACAGAAATAAATGATTAAACAGAGTTCTTATTTATATCAAAACAAAAAAAATTACAAAATATTGAAATGTGCAATAAATTCCCACCTTATTATTTCTCGTACAGCCACAGATCTCATCCTTGCACTTCAAACACACAGAAGAGCAATGATCAAAAGTTAGGATTTGAAGTTTGGCTCGTCCGTGTCATGCAGATAAAATCTACTCACATCACTCTTGTGTGTGACGTTGATTAAAATCTCCATCCACGCCTCGATGTCCAACTTCACACCAACAACTGGGGGAGAAAGAGACACACAAATGCCAGATAACCTAGATCATTTTGGTTCTCTGCATCAACTTTACACTCTGAACTTCAAGAATTTAAACTTGGCTAAAGATCATAGGAGATGGGACGACTTGATCTGTGGTTTGTGTACGTGTGTTTGTGTGTGTATGTCAGAGAGGTGGAAGAAATCAAAAAAACGGGGAATGGTGGTTATTAAAAGAAGCCTGTGACAGTGTTTAGAGTTATACTAACTATGAGGTATAAAGGTTACATAGTGTAGCTGTGTGTCAGTGTGTTTACATAAAGGTGGCAGGGTAGAAGGCAATTTGAGAGAATATAATTTAAACACGCCAACACTTTTCAWATTTTTTTTACCAGCTGGTTTAAGAGTGATGCCATCTATTGTGACGTTTACTGCTGTGCTCACAAGGACTGAGTTGTTACTTTCTGTAGAAAGAAAACAACAAAAATCAATACAAAAACATCGAGAAATTGTCTAAATGTGAATAAAAACAGAATACAATGATTTCAATGTTCACATTTTTTTTAATTAGGGATGTAAAAATATAAAAGCTTTGACAAACTGATAGAAATTGCCCTTGTTTTCTTTACCACTGCAACGTGTTGGAGTAAAGATGTACAGGTTATTGTCCAAACTGCGCTTGTAGAAACTGGACTCGTAAGTTTCTGCTTCCTCATTCCAGTCGAGTCCGGCACTGTTAAACACACAGACCAACCATGTTTCTCTGAAAAATTCCCCGTAAACAAACAAAACCATTCCTTATCGCTGACATTTTTAGCATCTAATGTTAAACCCAGATGCAATTTTTCCTTCTTTATTGTTGAAGTCAAACATTCACATTTACACTAGCAAAATATCTCAATAACCACCGAATGAATTTTGAGAAAATTTCAGAAAGCTAAATTTGGTTGTATTATTATTTTATTTGAAAGTTTAAAACAGAAAATGTTTTTAAAACATTTTATGTGAGTCCAATATTCTTTCTAAAGAAGATGGCAGGAGCAGCAARGGATAAAGATGATGGGAAACGGGTCACTTTGTACCCCAAGGACACTTAACAGTAGTGGAATGATAAAGGTTTTATAAAACCACTGCTCTGATCAGGCTGAATAACTGTTCTTAAATAAATAAATACCTTTTAGGGAAGACACGTGTTATTCCTCCATCAGTGGCGACAAATCTGGCTGCAACACCATGCCTGACGAGCGGAGAAAATAACACTATAAATCACACAGCAACAAAAATCTGGAATGTGTTTTCTGACATTTATTGGTGATGCAGAAATATTTGGACCGTCGGTGCCGCCAAACACCAAGCATAGCTGCTTCACTTACTGAAACTCGTTTTTCTTCCAGATCTTGATCAGGTCTGAGGTGATGCCAGCATCCAAAAGGAGTCGGTTCACCAGCTCTACATTACCTGAGAAAAAAATACATGATGCAAATCTTAAGCTATTTTTTTAAAATATCAACTTACTTCTTTACCACTACTGAACTAAAATTACTGTAGATGTGGTAGTAGCTGGGAGTCATCACAAACATATGCCAAGCACTACACATTGTGGAACCTATTTTCTCTGTTAGCACATACCTCACCTTTTCATTCACAAAAATGACAATAATTTGCAAAAAATAAGGTTAAGTTGATGTGGTGGGAGCTAAAAAGCATCTTCAACATACACTGTGAGTGTTAACACATTTTGTGAGTTTTGTAAATTGACTGTGTGACATGTTGAAATAATAAATAATGATATGCTTTTTCCTTGTTAATATGAGGCCTGCAGGACTAAAAATGTAAGAAAAAAATTAAAATCATCAGAAGGTTAAAAAAACTACACTATTTTAGACAAATACAATTTAAATGTTTCTCAGTCTCAAAAGATAAATGAAAAAAAAACTTTCTTCCAATGTTGTGTGGTGTAATGCAAGGAGAGGTGGTGCAGGTGTGTATAAAAAAACCTTTCACAGGACACCTGATAAGACCACATGACAAACATAACAGGCCAGAAAAAAATAAAAGCTGCTGCCTCCTTTCTGGTCATGCTCGTATCTTTGAACCCGCCGCCTTGTTTCAGTTCATAAACATTGAGGTTCGTTGATACAGCACCACCACCTCCTCCAACCTTTACGACACACCACACACATCAGAAAGGAACAGCTGGTGCAACACTTTAGTTCTCTCTGACCGCGCCGTCCAACCTTGTGTAGTGGTTTTCATTAAGGATTCTTTATTGAAGGCAGCCCAGGAATTCCTAATGTACTTCTTCGCCACTGCAGTGGCTTCACCACGTAAAGCATGTAACGATGCTTGAGCCACAAATACTGCTGCCCCTCTCCTCTCCTCCCGAGTCTCTGTGGACTCCATTAAACTAGCAGCTAATAACAGTGAAAGTAATATTTCAACCGGGTGAAAAGTTTTATTGGACTGATCGTGTTGAGATGTTTGAAGCAAGTCCTTAAATGCAAACCATCAAATTAAAACAATGGAACGCAATAAAAGAACCCTTTCATAAATGTCCCGGGACTGTTTGCTCAATACCCTCCCCCCACCACCACCACACACAAAAATGAGTGATTCATATCAATGCAAGGAACGATAAAGATGTTAATGCATTGGTCAGATGTCAGGGAGAAAGTCCACTCGGCCCCTGATTTGTGTTTTATTGCTCTGCTCGCGCTCACGAGTGGACGTGTCCTGCTCTTTTTCACCAACACACAGTAATTGCACGGGGTCGAGCGGCTACAAGGAGGGGTGTGGAAGGCATATTACCGGTGAATAGTGTGTGTGTGTGTGTGTGTGTCACATCTAAGCCGACGTGCTTCACACATGTGCAGCCAGGCGTGTGATGGTCAGAGCTTTGGAGTTAGCATCAAATGGGGAACACGAACACAGGGGTTCCACATTACAAAGCTTTGCCTGCTCATGCACATCAAACCATCCAACCAGACCTGTATTTCACCGGACAGAGCGACCTTTGGGAACAAGTTGGCACGCTTCTATTAAGTGTTCAACACACACCTTAATGTTTAAAGCCAGATGGCTGGGATTTATTCACTTATAACTGCTAAAGCAAATACTATGAAGCTTTTTAGAAGATTTATTCTCAAAGGCAGGGAGCAGGTCATATGAAGCAGGTCAAAGAAAGAAAAAAAAAGATATACTTACACATTGGATTGTTTGGAGTCTTTGTGTCAATATAGTTATTAAACTCCTTCAGGAACTCTGTGTTGGTGGAGTTTTTATCAGGTGGCTTTAAGTCTTTGCAGTACATCCTGTTGGAAACAAAATCTGATTTATAGTGGGTCAAAGCTGTGATGTTGGGAATTAAGTACAAGCTCCAGGACTGAGCTATATGTAAACCTACCTTGGTGCGATGAATGTGTAGCCATATTCATCAAACTTGTCTGCCATCAGGCTCTCAGAAACTGGTGAAAAGTTAATAATATGATCAGATTAAATGAGTAGGTGAGTGAGACTGTATGCAGATGATGCCCCACTGTGCCGAATGTGTAACAGTGCAACTTTAGGAGCAACCAAACTGATTTTGTAATTGCTTTGTAACAGTGGTCCAGAGGTGAAAACACATTAAGATTCGACAAATAAAACAAAAATATTTGATTGTTTTGTGTACATTTAGTTTTATTTATTTTATAATTTGTAATGCTAATCTTTTTGGAAAGAACACATAGTTGATGTGCAGAAAATGTGCTACAC